TCTCTCTCTCTCTCTCTCTCTCTCTCTCTCTCTCTCTCTCTCTCCAGTCCATCTTTCTCTGCTGTGCATTCCTGTGCCTTGAACTTGGCCTTCCTGCCTGGCCCCTCAACCCAGTTCAGGCATCCATCCCTACTAACAAGATAATTATTTCTCAGATGGGTGCCCCTGATGTCTTCTCAGAGGTCTTGAACAAAAATGATTATTCTATCTTTTTCATTTTGATGACAATATCCAAACATGAATGCCAGCAGGTTCTAGATAAGCTCAATGCCTGCTAGACTGAGACCTGCCAAAGGTGCTCAGTGCGTGTGGCTGTCCATACTGTGTTGGACCCCAGCAGTACTGCTGTATGCACTGCAGGCTACCGGGAAGAGAACAGTGGCTTAGTAGTGAATAGAGTGTTCAGGGCCAGGGAAGAGCCAACGAAGCCACAGCTGCCTGTACAAACTTGGATTTGATGGCAGCTCAATCTAAGGGATTGCTGAGAGCATCAGGCTCACCCTGCACTTGGCAGATAGATAGTCCTTATTTGGATGTTATCGGCTTTATAGTTTTCCTTGTATTTAATTTGCAAGTTGTTTAGGATTGATAGCTGTCTTGGACCAGAAAGGACTTTTAAGAGTAAACATATTAGTACACATCTAAGTCATATTAAAAAAGAAGTAACTTAACCTGGGCTCTGGGAGAACGTTTGTCCTTTCAAGGGGTGGGTCTTTGCACATCTCTGGCCTGAAATTCCCTGGGCCCAGATAACCCCAAGGCCCCATCTGTGGGCCATCCCTGGCTGCAGGATGCTGTCCTCTGGGAAATCCAGTTGGGGACAGAAATTGGGGCCCTCTCAAACTGAGGCATATATTTCTAGACAGGAAGCCTGGGGTCCAAGTGACATGGTGGAAGGCACTCATCTTTTCTGGACCAGATTCCCCATTGGCAACATGAGCATCATTCCCATCTCATTTAGGCTTGACCCCGTTTCAGGGATGTGGGGTTGGTGGGGTGAGGGCTGGGAGGTGAAGGTCTCACATGAATCCTCCGAGCTCCTGGGCCTTCTGCAGGACATCTTCCAACGAGGACCCGGCAGGGACAGAGACGGAGTGTCTGTATGGTGGCCAGACACTGGGGACTTTCAGCATGACATGGATGACTCCTGGGACTTGGCTAGGCGAAGTGGTCTCCACAGCTGGTTCCAACATGACTTTGCCGGGGAAAGAAAAAGGGACAGCTGGTGTGAGGGCAGGGGGCCTGGGTGTTAGTTTTTTCTTCCCTTAAAGACACTGTGGACCATCGGGACCTCCTTCTTCCCTGTGGTCTCGTCTCAGTCAACACCATCATCACCTACCTACACATCCAAAACCTGGCTGCCATCTGAGCCCACCCCGTAACCTCAGTCCCCACATCCCAGTTGCCCAAGGTCAAGCCCCTCACTGGTTTCCCTGACTCTAGTATACCACCTCCCACTTATCTGCCACATAGTACCCCAGAGGGCTCTTTCTAGAATATACATTTGCCCATATCACTCCCTTGTTCCCTCTGAGGACCTCCTCTCCTTTTTATTCTCTGCCTGCCATTCATTCTCTCACACCCCACTCTTTAGCAATACCCTTCCCCCTAATTTCAGTTTTTACATCTCTGTGCCTTTGCTCTTGCTGCCCCTTCTCTGCTCTGCCCTCCCTTCTTTTCTCTACTGGCAAATCCCACTCACCAAGTCCAGTCCCTCTCTTAGAGGAAGCCCTGATTCAGGATGCTAATTGAGACTCATTATGATGTATAACAGCTAAGCAAATGTGTCCCTCCCCATCCATCCATCCATCCATCCATCCATCCATCCATCCATCCACCCATCCATCTACCCATTCATCCATCCAAACATTTCTGTACTGGGTATCACAGAAGGGGCTGGAGATTCCTGGCCCACCCAGAGCTCTCCATTTGGGATCTCCCTCTCCACAATGTGAGCCTCTAGAAGCCATGACCGCATCTTAGCTGCCAGTGTGTCCCCCACACACCTACAAACCTCTGTTGACTCAGAAAATCAGGACCAAACAACCACCCCTTCCTGGGCCATGCGTCTGAGACCTCAGTGAGTACCCTGCAGATTAAAGAGAGCCAGGGTTCCATGAAAGGCTTGGCTACCTCTTGGTGCCAGGCAGTCTGGGGAGATGAGATCCACATAGCTCCTGCGGTTCAGGACAGGCAGCAGCTGGGAAATCATGAGAACATTCTGGAAGGCCTCATCCTGCAGGCTGGCCAACAGAGCAGTCGTTGCTTTGAGGCATGATGTGCTCAGCTCCTCCCCAGGCATGTGGGAGGTCATCAAAAACTGGTGATAGAGTGGGGTAGAGAAGGAGGAGGTGGGTCAGCCAGTGGGGAGAAGCCAGGTCTTTCAGTCCTTGACTGGCCTACCACCTACCAGACACCAGGGTGGACCACCCACCTGTAGCGCAAGAGGGGTGCTGTATACATTCCCAAAATGGCCCTCTGGGGTCTGGGCCCTCAGGATTTTCTCTTGCGCTGTCGTGATGGCCAGGGTGATCCGGTTTCTCTGATCGGGGTTGAGGTTGGAGCGCTTCAGGCAGGTGAAGGCCAAGCCTGCCATGGCCATCGTGTCTGCAGGGGACAGAGCCAACTGGGGTCAGCCCAGGCTTAGGGGTGATGGGCGGCCACAGGAGGGCTTGAAGAAAGGGGTTGACATGGTCAGATCAGCATTTTAGAAAGTTTCCACCAGCTAGGGGGACCGACTCAGCCCAGTTTGCCCAGGACTCCCCCAGTTTGGGCACTGTAAGTCCAGCGTCCTGGCAAACCCCCTAGTCCCAGGCAAACTGGGATGGTTGGTTAGAGGTGGGGAGAGAGGCTGGAGAAGGTAGGCCCAACAGGACTTTATCCTACACCACTCATTCTAAAACCTGCCTGCACATTGGAATCAATCGTCAGGCAAGTTTTAAATGAACCGATATCTGGATTCACCTCCAGGTGGTCTGATTTAACAGGTCCAGGGAACTGCTTGGGCCCTAGGGGTTTAAAGCCTACCCCCGCCCCAAGGTGAGTTAATGTGTGCACAGTGGTTTTTCTAGAAGCTTCTGAAGCAGAACAAGCCCCCTGATGGCAGAGGCCCTGCTGCCTTCTCTCTGGGCACCTAACCACCCCCCTTACGCCATCCTACCCCACCCTATGCAAGGCACACACACTCACTCACAGAACCAGGCCCAGAAGAGACCTTGAATCACAATGACAAGAAAGGCCACTGCAGGCCCAAGGTCACACAGTGAGGAAACAGATCCAGGATCCAGGTCTCAGGCATCCCAGCTCATACAATGATAAGATCATAGCATATATCCAGAACTTTCTCCATTCCAGGCGCTGTGCTAAGCCTTTTGCTTACAAGGCATCATTTATTAAGATGCTGCAGAAGGTTACTTTATGGGAGAAGATGAATCAGAAAGGCCAGATGACTTGTCCAGGGCGTCCTACAATGAGCATGTGCCATGGAGCTGGGTTTCGGAATCTCAGTCCAGCTCCAACACTGGCTCACAGCTGCCAAACTCCACAAAAGCCCTCACCATTTCACTCCTAAGGGATTCGATAAGGAGGGGGCCCAAGAAAAGGTGAGCATGAGGCCAGAAGGTGGAGGCTTCAGTTGGGGCTTGGGGCTGGAGGAGTGCCAGCCTGGCCTCGCAGGGTCTGGCCCACTCACCCACAGAGAGGTGGCCCCGGTGGAGGTGGTCGTCGTGTTCCACGGCATACAGGAGCTTGCCTACTACGCTGTCATGGACCCGCTTCTGGTGGACACACAGAGCCAGGATGCTCAGGCCATACTGGTAGTAGCTGGTGTGGGGGTGACCCTTGTGATTGTCCCCTGGAGGCAGAAAATGGAGGGGTGGGGGTGTCATGCCAAGCCTGAGGGGTTGCCTCTCTGCCCCCTCCCAGCAACCAGCCCTGTTAGCACATAGGTCCCCATGGCTGATACATTTCTAACACCATCCTTTGGGTCATGAAATCCTTTATTCCCTCAACCCATACTTGCTGAGTTTCCACTAAGTGTCAGGTGCTGTGCTTAGAGGTATGAATACAGTGACAATAGGACAGGCATAGTGCAGCCAGGTCCTCTGACAATAACACAACCCACACTCACGAGAGTGCGATTAGAACTGAGATGTGGACCAAGGTCTGTGGAGCCATATAACAGAGGTCTCTGAGTAGTTGGGGCATCACGGCAGGAGTTGCTAAGGCAGTGATGCTAGGAAGGTGAGGCAGAAGAGAACTAAAAAGGAGGGAAACCTTCCAAATAGAGGGAACATATATGGAGACCCTGGTTTGCAAGCTAAGAGAATGCCAGTACGGCTGGAGCCCACTGAGGGGCAGGCAAGTGGGCAAGTCAGCGAGTGGGTGGGCAGAACTGGAGAGGAGAAAAGAACAGAGAGACTAGGCCTAAAGGCTGTGAACATAGCAGTGAGCAGCCCCTGCAGGGTTTAAGCAGTGCAGAAAGATCAGATTTATATTTAAAATGCTTGCTTTGTGTGTGCTGGGTCGAGTCAGGAGGCAGGAAGATTAGCAGAGAGAGGCTGAAAAGTAAGTAGAGAGAAGGCTGTGCCATTGTCCCAGAGGTGGATAGTCAAGTCAATCTTGGTGTCTGAGCAGCAGAACTTGTTGGCGGCATGCATGTGGGGTGCAGGAAAGGCTTGATCAAGGATGGCTACTGGGACAGGCCTGAGCCTCTAAGCGGATAGTGAGATAGGCAGAATGGAGGGCAGGAAAGAAACCTGGGGAGAAAACCCAAGAAACCTGATGAGCCCTCTCCACCCCTAGCAGACTGCATCTGCTTACCAATGGCCCTCTTCTCATCCTCCAGGAACCTCTTCAACTGTGAGACCAGCCTGTCCCCCTTGCGGCCACCAACAAACTCACAGTTGGCCCTGAGAGCGAGCAGGTAGAGGGCCAGCTGGCCCATGGAGGGCTTGGCCTGGTAGTCGCTGTCGTCATCAGTGGAGGCAGACCTAGGACAAAGCCAGTTAACAGCACTTCCAGGAGAAAGTACCACCCAGGTAAGCCTGGCTAGGGGCGACCCCCACCAACACCGCAAAGTGGAAAAAAAACCTTGCAGCGGGAAAATGTGCTAGAACTTACCCCAGCTATGTAGGTTGTGAGGTGTGTGCCACACATATTTCATAAAGATGAAAAATTAAACTCAAGGACAAACTGTGAGGGTTCTCCCATCCAACTGACCTGTGCTTGCCCCACTATTTTGGTCATGCTTCGCCCATGTACTCTCCCTTTTCTTTCTTCTCTCTGACCTGCATACACTTCTCAAGAGGGAGTCCAAGCAGGAGATGCTCCACGGTACTCCTGATCCTTTATCTCTCGTTTAAATTCCCATACTGGACCTCAGAACAGGCCTCCCCAAAACCCCCTAGAAAGGGAGCACAGAGTCAGAGGCTGCTTGTGGGCTTAGTATGGAAGAGTGTGGTCATGGATTAGTGATGTCTGCCTCAGGTACAGGAGAGTGTAACAGGAGCATAGGGGCCCTGTATTGGCATCTCCATTCTAGTCAAACCAACTCCATTCTGCAGATGGAGACAGGCCCAGAGGAGATGAAACTTGCCTAAAGTCTCCCAACCAAGCAGTGACAGGCCCAAACCAGAGCACAGGTCTTCTGTCTTTTAGGATGTGGAGTAAGACATGGGGAAAGGAGAAGAGAGAGCGTGGCAATACCCCAGGAGGCTCTGCTGGTAATTGAGCTTGAGGCTGTGCAGATAGAGAGCCTCGTTGGCCCCGGCTTCTAGGCTGGAGAGGCGCAGGCCTACGTAGATACTGGGGTTCAGGTGCTCCAGGGAGAGCTGGTCCATCCAGGGCAAGATGCGCTGGCCCAGCCTCTGCACCAACGTGCCGTCCACCTCTGGTATGTCTTAGGAAAGAGAACAGGCCAAGTGAAGTCGCAGGACCAGGCCACCAGCAAGGAGCTGTTTTTACCTTACCAGGGCCTTCTTCAGGGAATATGGCCCACCTCCACCCACCACACGCCCTACTTGTATGGGAAAATCTGGCTGTAACGAAAGGCAAAGGGTAAAAGGGGGAGAGCAGGTATCCCAAAAGAGCAGTTGGAGTAGGCCAGGGAGGGGTGGTGGGCCGAGGGCACAGGAAGCTGGTGCCAAGCAAACACTCTGCCCATCAGGAGTAACAGAGAGACTGGATGCCAAGCCTCATGGTGTGTCCTGGGCACCACACCAGACCTCGCTGGGTCCTCATGCCAGCCCTATCACGTAGGTAGGCACTGTCATCATTGCTTTGCACAAAAGAGGAAACAGAAGTTCAAAGTCATGTCACATCTTACATGAGACTGCTGAGCCACCAATGGGCCTGCCTGCAAAGCCCATGCTCTTTGATGCTCTGCTGAACACTTGCTCTACCCATTTACAAAAGCTTCAACCCACATATGGAACAGTTTTAAAGTACTGCCCACTGCCCACTTCCCACTGGCTACCTGGGACTGCCTGGTGAACTTCCTATGTGCAGATCTCAAAATAACCTTTTTCCTGCCACTTCTGTTTAGGACAAGAGGACCTGAGATTGTGAGGTGAATCGCTACAAAGCTATTATTTGTATCTGTGTGCTTTGGGGAAAATACGGGAATATCTGAAATACACAGAAAGCAGAAGCCTCAGGGATATTTCCCAGCTCCCCCTGACCTCTATCTACTTTCTTCCTTAGGGAAGGGACCTGAGCTGAGTAGGAGGCCTTGCAGTCACTTTGGACTTTTCCCCATTTACTGCCTCCAGGTCACTGCAGGGCTCTAGCTGTCTCTCCTGTGCCCTGTCCCAGGATGCTGCACAGGCTGCCCTCCCAGGGGACTGAGCAAAGAAACTGCTGGGCAGAGTGCCTCCTGGGCCTCCTGGCATGAGGGCCAGGGTTCCTCTCACAAAGCCCCATCTCTCCTGGTTTGGGTCCACCATCTATGTCTGTTTTCCCCCAAATCACAGATATCTGTTGCTATGAGAGCAGGAGGGTAGGGAGAGTAGGATGGGGTGAGGTAAGGAGGAGTTGCTTTTCTCGCCTTTTCTCTCAGGGTCTTTCTGTGTGTCTGCCTTCATCTCTCTCCCTCTCTCCCTCTCTCCCTCTCTCCCTCTCTGCCTCTCTCCCTCTCCCTTTCCCCTCTCTCTCTCTCTCACTGTCTCAGTCTCTACAAGGTTCAGCCTGTCTCTCTGGATATCTTTCCCTCCGCACCTCTCTTTCCCTCTCCCTTTTCTTCAAACTGGCGAGGAAGTCCCTGCCCCCACCCTTCTCTGACCTCCAGCAGGTGAGTCAGCCCTGGGGTTAGAAGTGATAAGAAGAGGAGCAGGAGCTGTAAACAGCCTCCTTAGAATGAAAGAACCGGGCAGATTCATACAGGGTAATAAAAGGGCCCCTGGGTGAGCTAGCTCCCCACCAGGGCCTCCCGCCCACAAGGCCACCCAGCTCTGCCAGCTGAGGACTGACTGGCATTGACATTCCAAAGCACAGGAGCCCACCTTGCACGAACATTGGTGCAACATCCCTGTGAATTTCACAGAGATTTAAGCTGGTAAAGCAGGTGCGTGGGATCCTGGCACCACACAAAGGAGGAAGGCCAGGGAGCATTCTTAGTTCACTTTTCAGGCCAGGGAATGAGGCTGGGAGAGACTAAGTGGCTCAGCAGCAGTGAGCTGCACCAGTCCAGGGCTCTCCAAGCCCCACAGGGAAGGGACTCTTATGGGGTCAGGCCTCTGGACCAACTGTTGAAATGTTCACAACAAGTGAGGTTGAGGACCAAGTCCCAGGTCTCCCCTGGAAACTGTCTAGACAGGAACCAAGAGCCAAGGGCTGAGGGGTCTGGTTGCACTTGTGGAACACAGGCCGAAGGCTCCTGGTACCAGAGACCTTGTCCTGGAGTTCTGAGAACTGAGTCTGGCAAAGCCCTGGAAAACTGAAGTGCCTTGGGCGGGTCACCTGGCCCCTCTGACCCTTGACTGCTTCATCTATCATCTGGACATGACTGAACCTGCCTCTCACTTTCTCCAAGGATCATAAAAGACCCTGGTGGTGAAAGCATATTGCAGAGCATAGTGCCGTTGGCAGAGTACAGGAGGGGGGAAAAGAGGTGCGTGTGCCCAGGGTTCAGAGACTTCCCTTCCTGGCTTCTGCTTTCTGCCTGGCCCCAGTGCCCAGGTAGCCCAAGCCTGTGCACTCAGACTGACCGGCTGGTCCTGAGAGGCCCCTGGGGGACAGCCCTGAGACACAGAGTCTGAGCAGCCAGACCCTTGTGCAAGGAATACTCGTATAATGCAAATGTCTCACCATGCCCATCCTACCCTTCTGGGACTCATCTCCCCACCAGGGTCTCCACACTTACTTCCCTCTACCTTGGAAGCTTTCCCTCCTTTCTTTGCCAGTTTCTTTTCTTCCTTCATGTTTCAGTTCCCATGTCGTCCCCTGGTCCTTGGAAATCCTTCGCTATCCTTTCTCCCTGAATCCGTGAACTTTGTGCCTGCTTAGCTTCCTTTGGCACTCACCACAGCCCCCAAACACAGCACCGATTTGCCCCTTGGCTTCCCTTGTCTGTCCCCTTCACTACAATGAAAGCTCTAGGAGGGCAGGGACTGGATCTGTCTTGCTCTTTGCTCTTTCTCCAAAGCTTAACACTGCACTTATCACAGAGCAGCCTCAATCAGTGTGCTTTGAATGAATAAATGAACAAATAACCGAATTCATGGAGGCAACTGTGTCTGGTGGGGAGTCAGACATACAAAGTGCTTAAACACTGAGGTCGAGCTAAGCCCAAACTGCTGCGCGAGCCCAACGGAGCAGATAAGTTGTATCTGCCCCCACACCAGAGCCTCAGTTTCCCCAGCTGTGTAATGAGGGGATTGGTCAAGATGGTCCTCCCTCCTAAGGACCCAGAAAGAAAGAGGCACAGAGTAGCTATGGTTACTTACTGCAGATGTCAGCGAGAGCCCCCAGGGCCCCCAGCAGGAAGAGGAGGGTCCCAAGGTGCCCCATGGCAGCAGCAGGAGAATGAGCAGCCGGTGGGAAGATGGACAGACTCCTAGGGCTGGCCTTGCAGAGGCTCTCCTGACCACAGCTGATCACTGCTCCGAAACAGGCAGCTTTCTGTCACTGATTAATCTCTCCACGCCTGGCTGCACGCTGCTAAGTCAGCAAAGAGAAAAGGGGGAAACAGTCTGTAGCTGAGGGGAAGGGAAGGCCAAAGACCAGAGGAAGGAAGGGCAGAGCAGCTTTCCTGGTGGTAGGGAGCAAGGGGAAGGGGAGGGCACATAGAGATGGTGTGATCTTGAGGCCAGCCACATTCTGTCCCACTGCCTAAAGAGCCCGCCACCAGATCTGTCCAAGACGGTCTAACTGCGCCTGTCTGGTATCTTCATAGCTATTCCAGTGGTGCACAGGCAGTGCTGGGGTGCCTACCTGTTGCCTCTCACAGAAGGGGCCCCTTGAAGTACCAACCCTGGCCTGGGACAGGGAGTGGAACCAGGAGCTGCAGTGGTCACATGAGGGAGGCTGCTTTAGTCAGCTGTTGTCCTCCTGCCCAGAGGGGTGGGGCTGGCTGTACTTGAAACAAACAGGCTAGTTTTCTTAACCAACCAGAAAGCTGGGAGCCTCCTGGAGACAAAATAAGTTAAGGAACTGGATTTAATCACTTGAGACACAAAGCCATGAGTAGCAGGGTTACTTGTCAGGACTAGAAAAGTAACCTAGAAAAATCTCTGCAAGGAGAGAGGCAAAGGATTCCTTATCTGACCGGCCCCACAGGAGAATCAATGTATAAGAGTTAACTCTGGTGGTGCTGTGTAACCTTGGCCAGGTCACTTAACCTCTCCGAATTTGAAATAGTTTCTTCTGTGTGAGATGAGAGAGTTGAACAAAATCATCTAACTAAGCTCCCTTCCAGCTCAACTCGTGAAGATGTTAAGACCTTAAAACACCTCTCATCATTTCCAAATAAACTTTATATTGCAATCATTTTATGGCAATCAATCTTTCAAGATAATCTGTTTCTGTACCTGACTTATTACAAGTCAAGCTCTTGATATAGATAAATATAGTTATACACCACAGAACGACATTTAGGTCAATGGTGCATATATGATGGTGGTCTCATAAGATTATAATGGATCTGAAAAATGCCTATTACGTAATGGTGTTATAGCCATCATAATGTCATAGCGCAAATGTTGCAAAAATCAACAAAGCTGTGGTTGAGATGGCAAACAACTTTAACCTGGGTGTGGATGAGGATGGCACTGGGCGTTCCTAGAGGTGGTTCCCCAGGAACTGACTAGTGAGAGGTTGTTAGAACTAGAACAGGAATGCATAACTGAAAAAGAGTTAGAGAAAAGGAAACTTCAGAAGAAAAAGAACACCCAAGAAAATTCACAGTGAAGGGTTTAGCAAAAGCTTTTCAGACCCCAACAAGCTCCTTAAAAAGTTTGAAAACATGGACCCCCAACACTGAAAAGTTTTCATTAATAGAGAGAAATGTTCATGGTGCATTATCTGCTTACAAGCAAATCTATGATGAAAAAGACACAAACCAAGCAAACCACCATGGACATATTTCTGATAAGAGTTAAACCTCCTCAAGAAGAGCCTCAGGCAGGTCCTTCAGGAAGTATTCCAGAAGAAGGCGTTGTTATTATAGGAAATGACAGCTCCATGTGTGTTATTTCTCCTGGAGACCTTCCAGTGGGACGAAAAAGATGTAGAGGTTGAAGACAGTGATACTGATGAAACTGACCCTGTGGAGGCCTAGGCTCATGTGTGTATTTGTGTCTTAGTTTTCAACCAAAGAGATTAAAAAGTAAAAAAAAAATTTTTAATAGAAAAAGAGCCTATAAGAATATAAAGAAAGCAAATATTGGCCAGCCGAGTGGTTTAGTTGGCTAAGAGTGGGAGCTCTGAGCAACAGGGTCGCCGGTTTGAATCCCACATGGGCCAGTGAGCTATGCCCGAGCTGAGCTCCCTGAGCTGCCGATGGGCAGCCGGATGGCTCAGTGGTTAGAGTGTGCACTCTTAGCAACAAGACTTCCGGTTTGACTCCCACCTGGGATGGTGGGCTATGCCCACTGGCAACTAAGATTGAACATGGCACCTTGAGCTGGGCGGCCGGATGGCGACTGGACCTGGAACTGAGCTAGCTGCACCCTCCACAGCTAAGATTGAAGGACAACAACTTGGCTGTTTGCCTTCCCCAATTCCTCAATAAAATCTTAAAAAAAAAAAAAGCAAATATTTTTGTACAGGTTTACAATTTATTTGTATCTTAAGCTAAGTGTTATTAAAAAAAAGTCAAAAAGTTAAAAAAATTGAAGTTTATAAAGTAAAAATGTTACAGTGAGCTAAGGTTAATTTATTATTGAAGAGAGGAAAATATTTATTTATTTATTTATTTATTTATTTATTTATTTATTTGGGAACAGTGTGTTTTTCTAGGACCCATCAGCTCTAAGTCGAGTAGTTGTCTTCAATCTGGTTATGGAGGGTGCAGCTCAGCGACCCATGTGGGGATCGAACCGGCAACCTTGGTGTTGCGAACACTGCACTCTAACCAACTGACCTAACTAGCAGCCTCAGGAAAATATTTTTTATAAATTTAGTGTAGCCTAAGTGTACTGTGTTTACAAAGTTACAGCAGTGAACATTAATGTCCTAAGTCTTCACATTCACTCCCCACTCACTCACTGACTCACCCAGAGCAACTTCCAGTTCTGTAAGCTCCCCTCATGGTAAGTGCCCTCCCTGTACAGGTGTACCATTTTTTAATCTTTTATACTGTATTTTTACTGTATCTTTTCTTTGTTTAGATATGTTTAAATATTTGTATAAAATACTTACCTTATATTGCAATTGCCTACAGTATTCAGTACAGTAACATAGGAGCAATAGGCTATAACAAGCAGCCTAGGTGTGTAGTAGGCTCTACCATCAAGGTTTGTGTAAGCCACTTTATGATGTTCACACAAGAACGAAATCACCTATGATGCATTTCTCAGCATGTATCCCCATGGTTAAACAGCATAAGACTATACAGAGATATGCAACTGTTTACGGAAGTACTTTGTAAGTTTAAAATTAGACTGTCCAGTGCAGGAAGGCTGGGTGTGGCCCATCCAGGTCTGGAGAAGGAAGGAAGCCCAACTTCTGCAGATCCTCTGGTTCATAACTCCAGAGGAGCCTCAGCAATTTGTGGGCAATGGAGCCGTGGTCTGGGACAGGACTTCCCTGGCCCCCCAACACCCTTCCTGTGGTGGGTGGTGGTGATGCTGGTTCCTGAAACCTCTAGGAAGGCAGCCTGGAAGAGGTGGCCATAGTGGAGAGACTCCTCATTACCTGGCCTCTGATGAGAAGCAGTTTCCTTTGGGAGGGTCACCTCTGATCCCTGAGGATTTGAAGATACTTTCATGACCAGTGGGTACAAGGTACATTACCCATAGCCGTTAGAAATATTAGGTTGGTACAAAAGTAATTGCAGTTTGTAAGGCTGGCCGAGTGGCTCAGTTGGTTAAGAGCTTGCTCAAGAGTTTGAGTTCTGAGCAACAGCGGTTCGAGTCCAGCCCGAGCTGAGCAGCCACTGAGCTGCCAATAGGTAGCAGGATGGCTCAGCTAAAAA